AGGTTCTCACGGCATGTTGGCGTGTGCCTAGCGGTGCGTGCGTGCGGGTGGCCTCTCGATAGGCTTGTCCTTGAAGTGAGGACACTTGCTTGACTTCTCTTCCTCTCCCTGCTTCCTCTTAACCCTAGTGTGTTCTTCATTGGCCTTCAAAATAATCAAAAAAAATTTATGGGTCCAATGAAGTCTCCTTCGTTTGGTGGGTCTTTCCTCAAGCTTCTTTTCATTGTTGGAGTAGTGGCATTTTGAAGTGTTGGGTCAAACATGATCACATCAGAAACTATCAATATCTGATATATTTTTAAGAAAATTCAGATTTATCACGAAAAACACCCAACAAAAAAGGCATAATCGCTTAGCAACACACTAGCATAAACAAATGCCAATAGCAGAAACTAGAGGAAATTTAGACAAGAGAGTTCGGTAGGGACACACCTAACTTGTTGGCCTGAAGGCTCCTCAGCGACAAATTGGAAACTTCCTCCAATGGGATCTTGGAAGTTAAATACTAATGCAGCCTGGAACGAGGGCAGACGATGCGGCGGATTAGGTTGGATTTTAAGGAATGACAAGGGGAAATTGTTCGAGCGGGTTGTGAAGTAATCAAAGGTGAGAGAAATTGCTAAATTTTGTGAGATTTTTATGGAGGAGAGAAGATGGAGAGAATTACAAAATAAGGTTTCATATTGAATTCAATGTCTTACCCTTGATACAAACCTACCATCCTATTTATAATAGGATAATTTCTAATCGAAATAAGAATAAAAAATCTGAATCAAAATAATATCTAAAATTAAACGTAATTCTAATTAAATCTAAATCATATATAAATCTCAAATCATATCATATCATTTCCTAAATTATATCAATCTCATAACAGTTACATACCTTGAAGTGCTAGCAATTTGTAAAGGATTGAAATCAGCCAGAGAAGAGACTAGGAGGCCGATCTTCTTGGAGAGATTAACTTGGGACGATTCACCTTCTTCAAGGGCAAATCCAAGACATCATAAAAATCTATTGGTTAATCCACGAGGTAAAGCAAAGGGAAGAGGAAATTTGGGTGGTTTCAAAAACCGACATCACGAAGCCAATGGAGCTGCTCACTATCTTGCTCATGTAGCAATGGATCTCAATCTGAAAGAGAAGTGGGTTTTGTACCCCACTGGATTGTTGGATTCTGTTCACACATATTTGAATTAACTGTCTTTTTATTTATTTACTCAAGAAAAAAAAAACTTCTAAGATATCTTATGAGAATGTGGGGTGTTAAGAATGAGAAGTTGAAATTAGACACAGATGAAACGATAAGAGAGAGGGAAAAACATGTGGGTATAGGAGAGATAATATATAATAACAGTGGAGATGTCTACCTCACATTCTTACAGACTCACCCATTCCTTTGCTTAGTGGATGAAGCAAACTACGATTCTGTTTTTTGTTTTCAGATTTACTTGATCAAATGGATTCAGTGAATACGCATTTGGTTGAGATTCGTTTTTGAAAACCGCTTTCAAATTTTGTGATCCAAGTAGTAGAAATTCTGATTCAGATTTATTTTTTTATTATTTTTTTAGTATAACATGTTGGGGAAGAGATTTGAACTCATAACATCTTGGTTGGAGGTATATGCCAATTATCGCTGAGTTATGCTCGCTTTGACTGGATTCAAAATTTGAAATTTTTAAGATGCAGAATTACATTAAAAAATATTAAAAAATTTTGATAAACATATTACTTCATATTATAAACTCATTTTATGTTTGTTAAAATTAAAACATGTAAAATATAATGTATTCTAAATTATATAACGTTGTAAAATAATAATTATAAAAAATTCATAAAAAAATGTTAATAAATTAATTAATATAACTTTAGATTAAACTAAATATTTAGTTTGTAACTACTAGCTTATAAATATATTACTAAACACGTATTGAACAATTTTTTAAATTAAGATTCAATTATCAAATCTGCTACCAAACACATATATGAAAATACTGAATAACTCTGGTTTTCATTGAATCCTTTGTTTTCAGATTTTTGTTTTTTGATTACCAACCAAATGCACCCTTACTTATGGAAGTTGAAATAGGCTTTACCCAGTTGAGAATTGAAACAAATTCTATGTGGATAATTTCTCTCTACAATCGAATAAGGAAGATCAATCTACATCAGACCTCATTGCTCAAGAAATTATCAATATATCAAAAAGATCGAGAGAGACAAAATTTACCTTTTCTAGGCGCAATAGAAATTGGGTGGCCCATATAGCAACAAAGTTGGTAGTGGACGATGGCCTCACTGAAGTTTGGCTAGAAGAAGCCCAGTAGAGATGGTAGTTATACTTAACTAGGATTTGAGGATTTTACATTCTGACGAGAAAACCTTATTCTCTAAAACCATGTTTACTTTCCCTTTTTGGCCGGTTGTGGGCGATGAGGGATTCGAACCCACGACACCGTTGTTCGTAGCCACGTGCTCTAATCCTCTGAGCTACAGGCCCCACCCCGTCTCCACTGGATCTGTTCTCAGGGGTACCCTAAAAAAAGGAACCTTTCCTCTCCCTAGCCATTTGCCATTTCGGGTTAAGAAGATGTGAAAGTGCCTCTCTCTCTGTAAGAACAGTGCGTTCCAAGGTGTGAAGTGAGAGAAAAAAGTGGGAGAGAAGGGGTTTCATAATTGGGGTGGAATGGAAATCAAAATTTTTATTCCCTTTGATGTTGTTTACCAAATTGTACGAATGAGAATTAAATGGTAGGACCCACCCACATTTTTCATTCTCATTCCTTACAAATGAGCAATCTTATTCATCTCCTACACCCTCATCAGTCTCATTCTTATTTCTTATTCAAACTCATCATTGAACCGACCCGGGCTGGCCCAGCCTAAAGAAGTAATGGCCCAAGCTTGGCCTAGGCCCAAGCCCTACGGGCCTCAAGTATTATTTAGGCCAGCTCAAACCTAGGCTCATAGCCCAATCTATAGGCCTAAGTCGATGAGCCAAAATTGGATCGAGCTTGGATCGATCCATATATTAACATAGTTTTAATTATTAAATTTTAAAATTTAAATAATTTTCAAACTAAGTTTTTTTTTAATTCTAGAATATGTAGTTTTATATAATTTTTGGTACAATTTTTTGTTATTTTTTTTAAACTTGAAACAGAAATAATTTGAGATGAACAAAAGTTAAATACAAAAAAAATTGAAAACTTAAACCCTTTGAATTGGAACTCGAAAAAATTTGAGATTGAGAATTAGAAACAAATTGAGATTGAAATTAGAATTTGGGTGAAGAAAAAGGGAAAGAAGGTTGATATTTATAAGAAAAGTTTATATTAAAAAATTTTAAAAATTACAATCAAAATATTAGATATGTTTAAAATAATTTTGAATTTTGAATTTTAAAATATCATTGGAACCTTTCAAAACAAAAGTTGTTGCATGTTAGCCTACCATACCTATGTGTTATTTATTTATTATAATAAATAAATAATAAATAAATAATAAATAATATATTAATATTATATAATATAAATATTAATAAATATTGGATCGGATTTTGGGCCGGCCCAATGAGCCGATCCAAATATGGCCCAAACGGGCCGACCCATGGGCCTGCCCAATTTGAAAAACAAAGATCCATATCCAATCCAATTTATGAATGAGGTAGGTCGGACTGGTCAAACGTTGACCGTTGGTCGGACTTGGATCGAGCCTGAGCTGGATTTGGGCTGACCTTTGGGCTTTAAGCCCGATGATGAGGCTACTTCCTTATACCGTGGTCACACAGGATTAATGAGACCATAACTTTTTATTTAATTGTTTTATACTTTTTTATTTCATTTTCATTTATACTATTAATAATTTTTCTTTTAGTAAAATTTATATCACTTTTTGATGTAATTTTATTATAAAATATTGTAAATTTATATTTAATATTTTAATTTTATTTTGTTATGATTAATTAATATTATACTCTTTCTTTAAAATATAATTCATTATTATTAATTATTATAATAACAAAATTTAATAAATTATTATTAAATATTATTATAATAAAATTTAATAAAATTTTATATTAAACGATGGTGGTTCTAATAAAATAGTATTTTAGTGGATGCAATTTTATTTTAATTATTTATTATTTATTAATATTAATATTAAATAATTTGTTATGATAAAAAATATTTACTATCAATAATATAATAATAAAATAAATTAAAATATATTATTATTATAATTAAAAAAATGAGCACGACAATATATTTGTAATTAACTAGAAAGAATAAAGAGGTTATAGTAAACAATGTCAAACGAATTCTGATTTCAATTACAGAAAGTTTTTGGTAAACATCATCAAAGAAATAGTATTTCTATTCCGATTCATTCCCATTCCGATTGCTAGTAGGTAAACATGACCTAGCTCATTTGTTTGAATGTGTTGTTCCATTTATTGTAAAGAAAATTTTTTTTTAAAGACGTTGAACTAGAATGGAACAAATTTCAAACGTATCAAAATGAATATTCTAAATTCTGTAAGGATAAAAAATTCAACAAACTCAGAATTTGGGATCAAAATGATATTTAAAATAACTTAGAGGGGCTAGAATTATCCTTAATTTGCAAAATGGTAATCTAATCTGATATTGCTCGTGTAGCACAGAAGCAGAGCAGATATTCGGATCAGAGCCAGCGGCGAGCTTCACAAAGTTCAATTTCAGGCAACTATGGCTTCTTACTGGAGCTATGGACAATCCCTCTCAGATTCTACGATTCCCTCTACGAGCAGAGCCTTCATCTCTAGTCCATGGCATTGGGGCCTTTCCGCTTCGTCTTTCTCCCAACCTCATCGCCTGCAGTTTACGGCATTTCGAGCTCGGAACATCAAGAAGATCGATTCCAAAGCGAACAGACTCACAACTTTCTTCTCTGCTTTGCCTTTCGATCTCTCCCCTCCTCCGATCGATCAGGACCTCCTTGTAACTTCTGCTTCTCCATATGTTCCACTTTGTTTTGTTGGTCTGTTTGCTTCGCTATAAACTGGACAAGAGTGGTAGACTACCGGAATTGATTAATATGAGACTAATGGTTAATTTTCTTGTGTTCTTGCTGAATTTCTCTAAACTGATTTGGTTCTGTTGTACCAATAAAGTCGACTACTGTTAATTGATATGATGTGCTGATATTTTAATCGGTGAGAACGTGTATTGTATTACTATTACTCCCTCATTCCCTTTTCAGACGGTGGTATAAGACTGTATTGTTACTAACAATTTTATTATATGCCAAGTTTCAAATTTAATGTTATTATTACTTGTAATGTTCTGAAGTTAGGTATATATAATGGGCAGGAGACTGCGGAGATTGAGGGTGCAAGGATTTCTGATGATGGGATAATTGAAACTTTTCATAACGATGATGAAGCACTGGATGCAGCCAATAATGGGGTCGCGGTATGTAGTCTTTCAACATTTTTCTTACTGGCATCTTCTTTTCTTTTTGATTTGTTTAGTTTGGAAACTGTTTATATCTTCATTTTGAAAGCAACCACTGTTTGTATGCATCCTTTAAGTGTGCTACTTTGGTAATATTCTCAAATATATGAAAAAGGTTCTTAGTTGTAAATTTTACACATTACAATATGCCTTCTAATTCTCAAGTACCCGAGTGAAGTCAGAAGGTGGATAGATGAATGAGAGGCAGTACAGTGTGCTGTAGAAGTCTAGATGGTAGCAATAGTAGTAAGATGACCATCTAGAAGCTCTCCTATGTCACCTCCGAAAAAAGATGCATGGGGCATTAGAGCCGGCTGAAAGTTAATACTCCTTTACAAGTAGATAGACGTGTTGGATTATTACTTCTTTTTTTATTATTTTTTTTCTTTTCTTGTTTGGATAAGAAACAATTTTATTGATGAGATGAAATTACAAGGGATGACAATTCCATCTAAAGGGGTTACATAATAAAAAAATTATAATGATGAAAAAGGGGAGAGCGTTTACACCAATATATAACAAGTAACACTATATCTTCAAAGAAATCTATCAAATGAGTGCTCCTTGTCTTTAAAAATTGTAAGATTCTATAATTCCTTTCTTGCCAAGTGATCCAAAAGAAAATTTCTCACAAAATTCATCCAAATGAGCTTATTTTCTTTCTTGAATGGGTGACCCACCAAAGTATAGTGGAGGAGGGCATTTGGGTCCATAGGGAGGACTGTGTACCATCAAAATGCATTGAGAATCAAAATCCAGAATGTAACGACTAGCTTACAGGTGCTGAAAATATGATGTTGGGAGTCGAGAACTTTTTCTGCAATTTGGGCACCAATGAGGGGAGATATAGATGTTGGGTTATTATTACTCTACGTGCTGCTTCATGAAACGAAACATGAAAATTTATTTGGGCTGCTTGTCATGGTGAAAGTTGACTCCTGGACTCTTATATCTAAGATGTATTATTCATGTGGTCGCAACTATAGCTACATGTTTGTCTTTAAAATCAGCTACTTGCATATTTACTCTGGAATTACACATTCAGGGTTCTACTGTTAGATAATTTTACTTTTTTATAAGATTTTATTTATTTATTTTTATTATATATTTAGAAACAAAGATAGAAACTTTTCACTTGGATGGTGAAAAGCTACAAAAATTTCAATAGTAAACCCTCACTCACATCAATCCTCACAGTCACAGACCTCCCAAAATAAAATCAACAACCTCCTCGAATTACAAGAATGCTTCCCAATTCGAAGCAATTATCGAAATAGATTATATAACTACTAAAATATTTCTCTTTTTGAACCAGATAGAACTTTTCATGAAATAATTAGGAGGAACAAAATTGTCCAAGGATACAAACTCCCAAAGGAGTGGAAAAGAGAAGAAAATAAAGATATAGAGAATGCAAGGAGATAAAATAAAAGCATCCCAATTTTTTTTTTTTNAGGAACAAACATGTGAAATTACAAAGCCCATGAAGGGTTTACATAAACCACTTCCAATTAGTCAAAAGGGAAGTGTAGCTATAGTAATTAAACATAGGCGATTTTTTACACCAAGTGACAAATTTATAAACTATAGCATCAAAAAATCTCTCGAAAGGTTGCGAGTCATCGTTGAAAGTCCTCTGATTTCTTTCTCCCCACATATTCCAAAGAAAAGCTTGCACAAAGTTCAACCAAAGCTTTTCCTTTTCGTTTTTGAAGGGGTGTCCGACAATGGTGGTCTCAAGGAGCAAATGGGGATCATTAGGAAGAACTGTGGCCCATCCAAAGGTGTTGAGAATGGACTTCCAAAATTCAGGAGCAAAGGTGCAGGTGGTAAAGAGGTGTTGCTGTGTTTCCAAGCTGGCCTTGCAAATAGTGCACCATCGGGGAGATAAAGCCATTAGGGGAGGCTCCTTTGGAGGTTGTCATTTGTGTTGATGGTGCGGTGGCTAAGTTCCCATAGAAAAAAACTCACTTTTTTAGGGCAAAGGTCCTTCCAAATTGCTTTGTGAAGACTAGTACGAGAAGGTTGGTTGTGGTGAGTGAGATCCTTAGTGAGGGAGCATGTGGAGAAAGACCCATTTGCCTCCAAATTCCAGAAAAAACCATCCCTTTCAGCAGAAAGATGAACTTCCAAGAGCTGGAAACTGAGAGCTACTCATTCTATAATTTCTGCATCCTTAAGGTTCCATCGAATACCCAAATTCCAGCAAGATGAAGATTCCATCCAGAAAACAGATATGGGGCCTCCTTTTTCGATGACAATGCAAAAGGAGGGGGTGTTCCAGGGGCTGGCGTTCAACCAAGGGTGCTTCCAAAAAGAAATACTCTTGCCATCTCTGATTTTATAAGCCATCCGGTCGAAAATCAGATTTTGCATCTTTAAAATGGCTTTCCAAGGACTTTTAGCATAGGGGAGTGATGTAGAGATGGGTCTATGGTTCCAAGAGGCTTTGCCATATTTAGCCTCGATCACATTCTTCCAAAGGGCTATGTCCTCCTTGATATATCTCCAATTCCATTTTGCAAGGAGGATCTGTTTTTTAGCCTCATATTAATAGTCCCTAGGCCTCCTTGAATTGGTAGTTGTGTAATGGCTCTTTTGACAAGATGAAGGCCTTTGTTCTTCCTGCGGCTTTTTCAAAGAAAGTTTGATATGATGATATTTAAAGTGTAAACCACTTTAGATGGCAATGGAAAGAGGGAAAGGTAGTAGATGGGGAGATTTGTTAAGGTGGCTTGGATTAGGGTGTGTCTACCACCTTTTGGAGAGATAGGATCCTTTCCATGATAGAAGATGCTTATGTATTTTGTCGATCATAGGGTCCCAAAAAGAAAGAGACCGGTGCTTTCCATGAAGGGGTAATCTGAGGTAAGTAGTCGGCCAGCTTCCTTTATTGCAAGCATATTTTGTTTGAAGGGTGGACAATTCATCTTCTTCCAAATTTATCCCCAAAATTTCTGATTGAGGTGATTTATGTTCAACTCGGAAGCAACTTCAAAGAGCCTAATGATGTTGAAAATGTTGGTGAGGGAGGAGTCATCATATGGAGAGAAAAGAATGGTGTCATCCGCGAACGGTAAATGATGGATGGCCAAGGAGTTGTTACCAAAGTTTTTTATTTTTTATTTTTATTTTTTATATAAAAAACAACGATTTCATTGAGAATAATGAAAATAGATACAAAAAGAACAAGATGGGAATACAAAAAGATAGTCCTGAAAGAGGGAACCCCCTAAAGAAAAGGGCTCCAGTTAAAAAGAATGATGCCTAACTAACTGATAATTACAAAAAGCCTTTGTGTCTGAACCCTATAACGAAGTATTAAATCTAATGAGATCCCAAACATAATCAATCGGTCTCTCCACCCCCCTAAAATGTCTATTATTACCCATAAAGTAGCCAGAAAACAAGTCTGCCACAAAAAACACCCTTTGTCACGAAAGGGGGAGACAACAACACTTCCTCCATCGTCGTCCTATACTCCCTAGAGCGGACCCAGGCCATTCCAAAACATCTAAAGAACTGAAGCCAACAATCCTGTGCAAACTGGCAAGTCCACAACAGGTGTACGAGGCCTCTCGAGGCATTCCTACAGAGAACACCCAGAAAAAAGGAGGAAATCCTCTTAATACGATCCATGGTATTGACTTTTCCAAGTAAGACTTGCCACCCAAAGAACTTAATCTTCTTTGGAATTTTAATCTTCCAAAGAGAAGTAAACCTGGACGTCGAAGGGGGTTGTTACCAAAGTTAAGGCCTTTAATAAGGTCTTTGTTTGCTGCATGGGTCATCAATCTGCTATAGACATCAACAACCATGATAAAAAGAAAAGGGGAGAGGGGGTCACCTTGTCGAAAACCTCTAGAAGCGATAGTTTTGCCCCGGGGACGACCATTGGTGATAATGAAGAAATTGTTGGGATAATGGAGCCAAAACAGATGACCCGTGTCCTACGAGGAAAAGAATTTTCAAACACTACTACCAATTCCTACAAGGAGTAGGATATTATTGTCTTATAAGGATTACAATATTGTTTTCCTATAAGGATTGGGATATTTGACCTCTTATAAATAGAACCATTTTGTTAAGGTTTCATTTGTACAGTGTCCAAATAAGAGAGACTTGAGTGGTTGTGGACAGTGTATGAAAAAAGAGTTTGTATCTCGTGGGTTTAGTGAGGATATTTTCAATTGTGTAATCCTAGGTAGCCATTGTTAGAGTACTTATAAGTAAGATAATAATATCTTGGGTGAGATCTCCATTGTAATATTCTCAACTATAGTTGAACCTGCTTTTTTGCAGAAGACTGGACGTAGTCCCAAGATAGGGGCGAACCAATATAATCCCTGTGGTGTTAAGCTTTTCTATCCCTATCTCTTATTCTTTTGTTATTGTTATTACTTATCTACTTTTAGTCTGTGGAAGGGGAAAATCAAATAGTTCCTGTTTGAAGAACTTACAGGAGGATCGACTGATCTATATTATTTTTTCCCAACAGAAATTTGCTGATGAGATACAACCCCGGATCCATCTTCTCCATGTGTTACCAAATCCTTTGGCGGCAAGGATCTCATCGAGGAAATCCCAATCGACTTAGTCGAAAGCCTTTTCTATATCAAGCTTAATGACCACTCCCTTTCTCTTTTTCCTATCCCATTCCTCAATAATTATAATTCGTTTGCTATAAGAGATGCATTGAGGATTTGTCTTCCAGCCACAAATGCAGATTGTTCTTTGGTAATGGTGTGGGGCAAGAGTTCTTTGAATCTTTCGGAGAGAACCCTAGCAATGATCTTGTAAAGACAAGAGATGAGACTGATGGGTGAAAATCTCCTACCTTTCAAGCATCAACCTTCTTTGAGATGAGACAAACATATGTTTCGTTGAGGCTTGCGTTAGTAATGCCATTCTTAAAAAAATCTTGGAACACTCTCATGATGTCAGGCTTAAGGGTGTTC